CCCAAGCCGGGCTTAGCCATTCTGGGGTAGGGTGGTGGGAGCGTGGTTAATACGCTTGTGGTATAATCAGCTGGGAGTGCCGCCTCCGACCGACTTGTTTTCTTCCCCATTTCTTCCCCGTTTCCTCTTGACCAGTGGTTCTCAACCTGTGGGTCGGGACCCCATTTGGGGTCGAACGGCCATTTCACGGGGGTCGCCAAACAACGCAGTCCGCCATTTTTTCCCCCTTTTCCTTAGCTGTGCTACTCCCTTTTATTCTATTGGCTTTTGAAAGCCAATAGAATATATTCTCTTGAACAGAGTCTAATTCTATTGGCTTTCAAAAACCAATAGGAATTGTCCAGGCTGTCTCTGCCCTGCTGAGCCCGCCAAAAGCCCCAGTCTGCAAAGGGTGCTGCACCAGTTGAGTAGTCCTTGACTTACGACCGGTTGAGTAGTCCTCGACTTACGACCGGTTGGGGGTCGCGGCATTAAAAAGGTTGAGAACCATTGGTCTTGACCAAGCAGAAATGCTGCCCGAGGGAAAGTCTCTTCTCTGCTGAGGGCTGAGCTTTGCACAGCAAGGTGGGCCACGATTCGTGCACCCGCCACTGGCTGCTTCTGGCCAACGTTGGTGATGCACGGAGAGGGCGCAACTGGCTTTTGGAGCTGCAAAGCTGGGCCTGGAGGAGGGTCACTGGGCAGATATGAACACTGGAGTCATTTCTGCTGGATTTGGGGCTGATTCAACAGACGGTTTGTCTTATGGTGGTTCACGTACAGAGTATAACGGGTGCTCCATCCCTGGAGGTTTTCAAAAATAGACTGGACAACCTGTTTTATTGGGATGGTATAGGGCAGGGGTAGGCAACCTTGGCTCTTTTATGACTTGTGGACTTCAACTCCCAGAATCCCTGAGCTAGCATGGCTCAGCTTGGAAACCTCACCCTGTCCCCTCAGCATGGCTGGCTCAGAAATTCTGGGAGTTGAAGTCCACGAGTCATAAAAGAGCCAAGGTTGCCTACCCCTGGCTCTCCTGCCTTGAGCAGGGGGTTGGACTAGAAGACCTCTGAGGTCCCTTCCAGCTCTGTGATGCTATGCTCTGTGTGGCTCAACACTAAGCATGCTAAACCCGCTTAACAAACCTATTTAAGTAGCATGTCTACCCAGATAAACAAACCACATCACGCCTGGTTCGCACAACAGGCTAAGAGAGGTGCATCGCAGGTTGCCATAGCAGGTAGAAGTCCAACTTTCATCTTCTCTATGTGTTTGGCAAAGACGGGGCCTTTGCTCCACAGACTGGCTACTCCACAGACTGGCTACTCGCTTACAGATAGTGCTTGACTGATGACCGCAGCTGGGACTGGAATTTCTGTTGCTAAGCCAAGCAGTTGTTAAGTGAGTCAGATCCGATTTTAGGACCTTTTTGCCATGGCTGTTGTGGTTAACCGAACCGCTGCAGTTGTTAAGTGAATCACACGGTCACTGAGTGAACCCAGCTTCCCCCGTTAGATTTTGCTTGTTGGAAACTGGATGCAAAGCTCGCAGATGGCAGGCGTGTGACCACAGGATGCTGCAGCCGCCCAAAATATATGTCAGTTGCCACGATCCTGTGACCGTGGGGAGGCTGTAATCCATCACTGGGAGGGCCGGTCATAAGTCATTTTATTCAGTGCTGTTGTAACTTTGAACGGTCACTAAATGAATGGCTGCAAGTCAAGGGCTGCCTGTTGGTGGTGCAAAGCCATATATGTAGCTTGTTTGTCCTCGGTTTAGTATGTTGTGCCCACACAGCCACTGTGGTGTGCAAGTAAGTGGTGTATGTCAGTCAGACATCATCAACTGGCTCAGCATCATGTGAATGTTTAGCTTTGCATACATGTGGACCCTGTCTGGGCTGCTCCATGACTCCCCTGGTTTTGAGCACCTTCATATGCTCAGCTTCTGAGGACCCTTCTTTTCTCCCCCCTCACTGCAAGGGGCCAAACAGGCAAAGTTCAGAGGTGCAGGAGTGAGTTATGGGCCCTGCAATGCACGGGTGAAGTGGCCCTGAATGGGTCCTTTCTGGACTGGTTCATCTCCTGGGCGCTCAGTTTGAGGAGGGGGTGCAGAGACTTGGAGCCAGGACCTGAAAGGGTGCAGAGACTTGGTTCTACTCAGCACTGCAGGGGTGCCTTTCCTGGGCACCAATCCAGCTCCCTCAGGCACTTCAGAGCTTTCTTTTAACCAGAGGATGAGCATCTTCCAATACTTGAAGGGCTGTCACAGGGAAGAGAAGATCCATTTGTTCTCCATAGCATCTGAGGGCAGGACAAGGGGTGGAAGCTCCTCAGAGGAAGACGCAACCTGGAAGTGAGGAATTTTCTGGCAGTAAGAATGATTAATCAGTGGAACAGTTTGTCTCCCAGAGTTTTGGTTGCTCCATCACTGGAATTTTTTTTTTTCAAGAAAAGATTGGGAGCCATTTGTCCTGGATGGTATAAGTACTCCTGCCTTGAGCAAGGGGGTTGGGACTAGAATCGATGACCTCCAAGGTCCCCCCCCCTCCTAGTTTTCTGATTCTTTGAGTCAATCTACCTGCTACTCCAACTGCTCAGCACTTTTTAGATTCCCATCAACTGCCCTTGGACAGATTTCCTGTGCAGAGAGCTAGTGGACAAGTGGGGGTAGCTGCCCCTCCCTTCTGAGACCTCGGCCACACTTATGGGACCCAGGGTCGAAGATCTTCGGAGTATCTTCAGGGCTTTACTGTCTCCGCCAAAGCAATAAAGAAGGAACATGGCTAAATCGACAGGGTGCAAATGCCCTTCACCAGTTTAACTCCAGTTCCATTAAAAAGCAGGCCCTTCGCTGGGCTGCGTGCCACCCCAAATTTGAAATTGCAGGGTAAGGACTATTTCATTGAAAGAGTGGAAAGGATTTCCTGACAGAGACAGCTTTCAACAGGTACGGTGATGGGGGCCTCCTGTGTTCCCCTTCCTTGCCGGCAGTCTTCAGACATAGCCGTCTGTCCACAATGCACCAAGAAGAGGGTGGACTCAGTGACCTTTGAGGTTCCCTTCGAAATCTGTGATTCTAAGCAAACGCCTCCCAGCTACGGTACTTTCCTGGTGCTGTTCCAAACGTTTCCTCTTTGCTTAAGCTGTCGTCATCTGCCTTGATTGTGTTTTTTACCCCTTTCTGCATAGGTTGTAGTGAAACAGGAAATGCCTCTTTTTTCATAATTCAGGATTAGCAAAACCTGATCACCTTGCCTGGCTAGTGAAACACATGCCAAAGACTAGCTTTCTTGAGCCCTTTTAAACAAGAGGAAACAGTTTGCTTTTAGCAAGGATAGTCTTGGCCAAAGCACCTGTACGGTTTACATTTTCTCAGCCCCATAACAACAACCAAAGAGCAGCAGCATCACACTTAATAAAAGAAATGACACACCCTTGGCTGAGCCCAGAAATAAAGTGCCCTTACATTGGACACCCTCTGTTATCCAACTAAAAGTTTATGGTAGCTTGACAGCTCAGTCCCACTCTTCTACTGCTGGTTGAACTTTTCCGTCCTTCTCCGATTACTACTGGAGAGCCCACCTGTGCAAAAAAACAAGCTGGGGATGCTGTCTCTTGTGTTCAGCTGGTTGGCAACAAAAGAAAGCAAAAAACCATGCCCAACAGAGTCTGGGAATTGATGGAAACTGAGAACCAGGTTTTGTTTCTGCAAAAATGTCTACATTACCCTGGTGTTTCTCAGCCTTGGCAATTTCACGACGGGTGGACTTCAACTCCCAGAATTCCCCAGCCAGCATGGTTAAGAGCCGTGGTGGCGCAGTGGTTAGAATGCAGTATTGCAGGCTAATTCTGCCCACAGCCAGGAGTTCGATCGTGACCGGCTCAAGGTTGACTCAACCTTCCATCCTTCCGAGGTCAGTAAAATGAGGACCCAGATTGTTGGGGGCAACAGGCTGACTCTGTAAACATAGAAGGCTGTGAAGCACTGTGAAGCGGTAGATAAGTCTAACTGGCTATTGCAAGAGAAATACTGTACGACACAGTCAACAGCAAAACATCTACATCTAAAACTAGAAAGAAAAACTGCAGAGAAGAAGGAGGCTTTGAGTGCTTCATCCTGGCCCTACTCACCCCATAAGATCACTCTCAGATTCCTCCCAAGATTCTGTTCCAGCCCAAATCCAAATATTCTGAAATTTTCTTCTGCCAGACCATTGTTGTTGTTGTTGTTGTTAATTGCAAAGTCGTGTCCGACCCATCGTGACCCCATGTACAACGTTCCTCCAGGCCTTCCTGTCCTCTGCCATCTTCTGGAGTCCATTTAAGCTCATGCCTCTTGCTTCAGTGACTCCATCCAGCCACCTCATTCTCTGTCGTCCCCTTCTTCTCTTGCCCTCCATCTTTCCCAGTATCAGGCTCTTCTCCAGTGAGTCCTTCATTCTCATTAGGTGGCCAAAGAACTTGAGTTTCAACTTCAGGATCTGGCCTTCTAAAGAGCAGTCGGGGTTGATCTCTTCTAGGACTGACCGGTTTGAATGCCTTGCAGTCCAAGGGACTGGCCAGACCATGGTCCATCTGAAATTATTTGACAGAAGTTCCAGAATGTGGTTTTTATTTGGGGGTTTGGAAGCAAACCTATGTTTTGTTTTGTGCACATGGCTGGTTGGTACTGCTCTGTTCCTGTATCACTGAGAAATTGGCACTTCTGGGTTTTTGGAGTGTTAACTGGGTTTAAATTGGATTTGGCCTCACTTTGCACAGAGGAGGTTCCTTCTCACATGGGATCATTTCAGTTGAGGAGGAAAAGGATTTTTATGCTGCGTTCTCCTCTAGAAGAATGGTTAAGCTCATGTTTTTCTGACAGTTTCCTCCTTTATTCTTCCCCCCCCCCATGGACAAATGCAATGGGATTATGTGATTATAGAAATATTACTGCTATTTTCCATTATAGCATCGTATGTCTATAATCATATCATCCCATTGCATTTGTCCATTTGGGAAAATAAGTTTTTATAATCTGAAAGAATTTAATGTCTTGGAGAATGGGGATAACGGAGATCGGCTGAGTATTGATCCACTGGTTGGAATAGAAATTGACTGACAGGCAGGTCACCCAAGCCTGACAGTGGACTATAAACAACGGAGAGAATGTAACTAATCCTAAAAAAAAAAAAAAAAAAGGCGATCTCTGTTTTGCTTAACTAGATACGTTCATAAATCCAGCAAACGGAGAGAAACTTCTGGCACAGCCTGGATTCAGAGGCAACGAAATCTCTGCTGCTGGTAAAGTTCACGAGACAATGCAGCGAGAGTTGTCCAAGCCAGGAAATTATCAGAGAAGGAGGGCCTGGGCTGCAATTGGCAGCTGTTTCAACACCAGGCGTCACTCAGGCGCAACCTGGCTAGGAAGAACATGGTGGGCACGGATCAGTCGGAGCCCCTCTTGCCCTCTGCAAGGTGCATCTGGGAGTTTCTGCGCCCTCCGGTCCTCAACCCCCCTCAGGGGGGGTCCCAAAGTCCAAATCTCAAGAGGCAGTGAGCTCTGATTTTCCACCACGGCGGCTCTCGTTGCTGTTCCAGATATTATGGATTTGGTGGCTGGGTTTGCTTTGCAGCTTAGTTGCTGATTTATGTTCTGTTGCATGGTTTGATTGCTAAGCTGTGTTGACCTAGGATGGGGTTGCAATGCAGTCAGAAGGGGGAAATGGAGGCTGAAACTGCTCCGAGCTTGTGAAGCAGGAAAAAGCAACGTCCGATTCCTTCTTAACAAGCTAAATTGTGTTTTGTAGAGTGTGGTTCTAGGTTGTGTCTTGAGTTTAAGCATCCTTTTCTTGTGGATTAGGTTAGTTTGTGCTCTGAAGTCAGAACGAAAGACTTAAGCCGCCTCTGTGAGGGGCAAGGGTTGGGCCAGAAGATACAATTCTAAGCAGCACTTCATGAAAAATAGTTTAATTACTGTCTACCTGCTTAAAGTAGCAGCAACGACTTAAATACCTCAGGGAAATGGTCTTATTATTTATATTTCCCTAAAAATAGCAGTGTATAATAGTTTGCAGCATCTTTTCTGCCAAAGCTCGTGCGATACTAAATGAAAGGTTTGGTCTCTCAAACCAGGAGACTGTGAATTTTAGTCCTGCTTTAGGCATGAAGATCGGCTTGGGTGAATTTGGGCCCAACTTACCTCACAGGGTTGTTGTGGTGGGGAAAGTAGGAGGAGGAAAGTACGTTGGATCTGTTTGCCTCCTTGAGATGTATATAAAAATAATAAAGGCAGGATATTAAATGCATGTGCAACTACGTAGGTGTCTGCTGGTCTTTTAGGTGCCCCCAACAAAAATCACCACCGAATAAAGATGTCAGAGCCTGGGAATGGCAGGCATTGCTATAGTTATGAGAACCAGTTTGGTTTAGTGGTCAAGGGACAGGCTAGAAACTGGGAGACTGTGGGTTCTAGTCCCGTCTTAGCTATGAAAGCTGGCTGGATGATCTTGGGTGAGTCACACACTCAACCCAACTCCCAGGATTATTGTTGTGGGGGGGAAAGGAGGAAGGTGTATTGGATATGTTTGCTGCCTTGGTTTATTTGTAAAAATAATAAAGACAGAAAATGAATGAATGAATGAATGAAAGAAAAAGAAAGAAAAAGGAAAGAAAGAAAGAAAGAAAGAAAGAAAGAAAGAAAGAAAGAAAGAAAGAAAGAAAGAAAGAGGGAGAGAGAGAGAGCAGTGCTGGGGCAGCTCCTCCACGATCCTCAGGTCTCCAATAGGCAGTGGTTTGTTTTTTTTTTTGTAAAAACAAAAGGTGCCGGGTCTCACACATGTCATACAACCCGCCTTGCCTACCCTACAAAGTACCATCCCAAAAAGGTGCCGGAACTCGGTTCTGGGCATTCTATGACAAAAAAAGCCCTGCCAATAGGAGTCAGATCCAGTAGGTCACTCTTCAAGATGGTGCCTTTTCTTGATTTTGCCAGCCAGATCCACCTCCAGCCCCACGGTTGTGATCCACCCACCCATATGGGAGTTGCAGTTCAAGACATCTGTAAGGCGTGCCTGGTGGGGAAGGTTGACTTCTGTGCCAGGATCCTTGGCTGACCTTGAGTGGGCCTCCCCTCTGCTCCCCTTCTCTTTGCAGGATGGCGTTTCACCGCAGCCAGAAGCTGAACCTGCTGCGTCTTGCGGTCCTCCTGACGGTGGCACTGGCCGGCATCAAGTTCTTCTTCCGAGACAGGTTGGTGCCAGGCGTTGGCGGGCGCAGACAGTCCCTGCGACCTCTCCGGAGATGGTCTCTCTTTTGGATACTCTGCTGGTTTCCTGGTTGTGAAAAATGAAGCAAGAATTATATCTGTTATCTAGACATACGTTTATAATATTTTAGATTTTAGATTTCATAGTTTGTGTTTTTATCTCTTGGGGTTGTTTTAATCAAAATCTGATGGGAATGTGCCATCTGGAAAAAAAAAATCTCTTTTGGGTCTGGGTCAGCATAATGTTGGGGAGGTCCTAAGGGAGAATCCTTCCAACCTAGAACTAAGGGGAAACTTCCTAACAGCGAGAGCAATTAGCCAGTGGAAGGGCTTGCCTTCAGAAGTTGTGGGTGCTCCATCACTGGAGGCTTTCAAGGAAAGATTAGAGAGCCCTTTGTCCAGAATGGTATAGGGCAGGGGGAGGCAACCTTGGCTCTTTTATGACTCGTGGACTTCAACTCCCAGAATTTCTGAGCCAGTATGGCTCACCTTGGAAACCTCTCCCTTTCCCCGCAGCACGGCTGGCTCAGGAATTCTGGGAGTTGAAGTCCACGAGTCATAAAACAGCCAAGGTTGCCTACCCCTGGTATAGGGTCTCCTGCTTGAGCAAGGGGGGTTGGGCCAGAAGGCTTCCAAGGTCCATTCCAACTCTGTTATTCTGTATATTCCCTGCCTGTGGGGTCTGCTGGGGCAGAGACCTCCTACAAGGGTTGACTTCTTCCTTTCGAAGCTGGTCTAGACCTGCAACTCCAGAGCCATTTTCCTTTCTATGATGCCCTTCTAGGATTTGTTTCCTGCTGGGATCTCATATTGCTAAGTTGTCCATCTCTCATCATGTCTCCAACATGGCGGGTAGGGAAATGAGAACTTGGGTTGTTGCAGGGCAAGTTATAAAGTCACAAGAGGACATCATCTTCCCCAACCTGATTTCTGCCCTGAGGGCAGAGGTCTCGTTCTCCACCAGGTTGAGGCCACCCCTCTCAGGGACACCAGCTTGGGGAAGGGAGGCATTTTGGAGGGCTGTTCCATCGCCCTGGCCCAATCTTTCTCAGCCTTGTCAACCTGAAGATGCGTGGACTTCAACTCCCAGAATTCCCCAGTCAGCAAAGCTGGGGAATTCTGGGAATTGAAGTTCACACATCTTCAAGCTGCCAAGGTTGAGCAACACCACCCTTGCATCTACCTGTCCAGCATGGCTATGAGGAAACAAAGGAGTATAGATTGGGGTAGGCAACCTTGGCTCTTTTAAGACTCGTGGACTTCAACTCCCAGAATTCCTGAGCCAGCATGGCTCAGCTTGGAAACCTCTCCCTTTCCCCTCAGCGTGGCTGGCTCAGGAATTCTGGGAGTTGAAGTCCACGAGTCATAAAAGAGCCAATGTTGCCTACTTCTGGCTTAGGCCTAGACAGCTTTCTGACTCGTAAATTTCAACTCCCAGAATTCCTGAGCCAACATGGCTCAGCTTGGAAACCTCTCTCTTTCCCCTCAGTGTGGCTGGCTGGGGAATTCTGGGAGTTGAAATCCACGAGTCATAAAAGAGCCAAGGTTGCCTACCCCTGGTAGATAGTCCTCGACTTACTGCCACTTGTTTAGTGACCATTCAAAGTTACAATAGCATTAGACAAAGTGACTTATGACCATTTTTCACACTTATGAGGAGTATTGCAGCATCCCTGAGGTCACGTGATTTACATCCGGACGCTTGGCAACTGACTCACATTTATGACGGCTGCAGTGTTCCAGGGTCACGCCATCCCCTTTTGTGACCTTCTGATAGGCAAAATCAATGTGGAAGCCAGATTCACTTAACAACCATGTTACTCACTTAATAATTGCAGTGGCTCACTGTGGCAAGAAAGGTCGTAAAATGGGGCAAAACTCGCTTAACTTGCTTAGCAATGGAAACTTTAGGCTCAATTGATGTCGTAAGTCGAGGACTACCTGTATGCACACTCTTTCCAATTGAGTCAGGTCCGTTTGCACATCGTGCGCCGGGCAAGAGGTTCCTGGTGCCTATATTGTATTCTTGCCCACCTCTTAACGCCCTAGGCTCTTGGGGTATTTTTCCTGTGGAGCTAAGCTCCTCTCTGTTCCTCGTTGCAGCTTCACGCTGGACCAGCGCAGGGAAGTTGGGGAAAACCACTTCTGGGGCAGCGCCCAGGACGTGAAACAGCCAGCCAACACTCAGCCCCGATCGTCGGGGCACCTGGAACGCCAGGTAGCGGCTGGAGCGGCTGGCCTGGAGCCGAAGAAACTGCCCCACCGGGACTTCAGCTCCACGCAGATGCGGTTGGTCCATCTGGACCTCAAAGGGGCAGCTCCCAAAGTATCCTACCTGGAGCAGGTGAGTTGCAATGTGAGCGGGACCCCAGGAGGCAGGATTGTATTTAACCTTCATTTCCAGTCAGCCAAGACAGGGATGGTGAACCTCTGGGGCTCAGCCTGGTCAAACATTCAGAAAATGCCTAACCTGACTGGGCTGCTGTGTCTTTCCCCCAAGAAAAGATAAGCAATTCTTTCCGGATTTATTTGTTGAAAAAAATACAGTTCAGTCGTATGTGGTGCTATGTATTATATAAAGAAACCTCAAATAATTACAAAAACGAAATACAGGCAAAACAAACTTATTTTGGGAGTTGTGCTTTCGAGAATAGTTGTTGTCAGGTGTCGATGAACACTGTTGTGTCACCAAAACATGGCTTGTCACGCATGTCATTGGTCTGCCATCCCCTTGCTAAGAGCTACTTGTTCTACAGACAGTTTTTTGTGGCACTTTTGTGCCTCCCCAGTCAGTCTGGATTCCTTGGGACTGTCTGGATAAGTCTCCACAGTTTCCCTGGCAGCCTTTTTGACATTTCCTTCCTTGTAGGACAGTGGTTCTCAACCTGTGGGTCGGGACCCCATTTGGGGTCGAACGACCATTTCACGGGGGTCGCCAAACAACGCAGTCCGCCATTTTTCCCCTTTTCTTTGGCCATGCCCCTGGCACCCAGTGATATATAAGTGGTTTCTGGGTCACCACAACATGGGGAACTGTATTATGGGGTCGCGGCATTAGAAAGGTTGAGAACCACTGTTGTAGGATTGGGCCAAATCCTCCAACTGGTTTCATGCCCAAGGCAGGACTAGAACTCAGGTCCAGGCCTTTGACTACACCCAACTGCCTCTTAGCAATAATCTATAATAGTAATAATATTACAGAATTCCCCCAAATGTCAATATATAGGTAGTCTTTGACTTATGGCCACAATTAAGTTCAACATTTCTGTTGTTAAGTCAAACATTTCTTAAGCAGCTTTTGCCCCATTTTACGACCTTTCTTGCCACCGTTGTTAAGTGAATCGCTGCAGTTGATGAGTCAGTAACCTGGTTGTTAAGTGAATCTGGCTTCCCCATTGACTTTGCTTGTCAGCAGATCGCAAAAGGGGATCATGTGATCCCATGACACAGCAACGGCCATAAGTTTGAACCAGTTGCCAAGCATCTAGATTTTGATCACATGACCATAAGGCAGTGTTTCTCAACCTTGACAATTTTAAGGCATGTGGACTTCAACTCCCAGAATTCCACAGCCAGCAATGCTGGCTGTGGAATTCTGGGAGTTGAAGTCCACATGCCTTAAAATTGTCAAGGTTGAGAAACACTGCCATAAGGGGATGCTGCACCGATTGTAACTGTAAAAAATGGTCCTAAGCCACTTTTTTTCAGTGCCGTTCTAAATTTGAACAGTCACTAAATGAGCTGTTATTAAGTTGAGGAGTATCTGATACCCAGGTTTTGCAGAACAGAAATTAATTACGGGAGACTTACTCCCAACCAAATTCTGTCCTGGCTAAATTCTTTTGGAGTTGCAGACCTTCTCAAGATGGTCTGTGCAGTCGCCAGGACTAGAAGCATCATTATATGACGTTTCAGTCTACATTTATCAGTTATCTAAATAGGTTTTGCATCCAGGAATAAAGTTCTCCCTTTTGACAATGGAGCTGCTGGGTGTGTGGAATGGAAGTGTCCAGCCACAGAAGCTGCATCCGCTTAAATGGTGTGAAAACTGCTTCTGGCGTCCCTTGCAGGCAAGAGGGGAGGCTGAGGAGTTGCCAGTTGGGCCAAAGGTCTCCTGCAAGTGGCCGGGACCCCTTGTGGAACATGCCCTGGGCCACTGGTGGCGAACCTATGGCACACGTGCCAGAGGTGGCACTCAGAGCCCTCTCTGTGGGCACGCACGCCATGCCCCGGAGATGGCAACTGTCCTCTTCAACCAGCCGCCTGCTAACTTGCCGAGGTCCACGTGGCTGGATGCATCCCAGCACCCATGCGCTTGCTGGCCTCTGTGTGCAGGGGACGATGGTGTCAGGCAGCAGCCACGCTGGCTCCTGCCTCGCCTTGCCCTGCGACAATGGCTCCCCCACCCTGTCTTGCCTTGCCTTGCCTCACCCCGCAGAACGAGCCTCCTGCCCACCGCCCCACCTGCCAGAGACCCCCTGGACTTCCCCCAACCTTGCCCGGCCCCCACAGGTGTCCCTCCCCACAAGCAACATCTTGGCCACACCCACCCAGTCTGCCATGAGCACCACAGCCACACCCACCCAGTGGGCCATGCCCACCTGGCACCCGGCGATAAATAAGTGGGTTTTGGGTTGCAGTTTGGGCACTCGGTCTCTAAAAGGTTCGCCATCACTGCCCTGGGCTGCTGGATGGGGGAGGGGGTTGAAAGGAGACAGCCTTCTGTCTTCCCCCCCCTGCTGGATTCTGCTTTGCCTTCTCCCTGCTGAGCTGCTCCCACCGCCCTTGTGTGCCTCCTTCTGCACAGATCTTCCCGCTCTTCTCCAAGATGGGAGCCAACGGGGTCCTGATCGAGTACGAAGACATGTTTCCCTTCAAGGGAGAACTGGAGATCCTCCGGTCCCCTTATGCTTACAGGTAAAGCAGACTGGAGGGCTTTGGCAAGGGCTGGGGGGGTGGGGAAATGGAGGAGCTGGACCAGGTGTGGATCTGGCCCGCCAGGGAAGGGAAGACCCTCAAGCTCAGAAACGGTTCATGCAGTGTGCCCAGAGTAGCCAAAATGGGGAGGGGGGGGGGGGAACCCAGAGCTCATCTGCCACGTTCTCAGCTGTGTGGGGTCATCACATTTCACAATCGGCTATGCAGCCACCGATTTGGGTTAATGAGTAGCCGGAAAGCCAAAAGTTCATTCCTTTGGTTGCGTCAAGTGTGTGTGTGTGTGGGGGGGGGAATCTATTTGTTTCTTTACTACAAGGGTGGGGGGGAGGTGCTGCATGCATCCAACCATCACCCTTTCAGGGCTGCCTGCATTTTGACACGGGATGTGCATGTGTGTACTTAGTGAATGTGAGAAGCATTTTAACGAGCAAAATGGACTGAAAGTGTGCAGGGGGTCAGGTTTCCCCTCCCCTCTCTTTAAAAAACTGACCTCTGCAGTCCCCCTTTGCAACCTGGCCTGCCCATGGCTAGCAGATGGCTCTCTCACTGTATCACTTTTGTCAGTGGAAACGGTGCCCCCCCTCCTGTCCTCCCTTCACCCCATTTCCTTCCTTCAGGGCCAGTCTTGATTATCCTGAGCTGTCATGGATTTGTGCAGGAGCAGGAGACTGAGTCTCTGATGTGGCCCCCTCCCTCAAGAGAATGGAATGGAATAGAATAGAATAGAACAGAACAGAACAGAAATAGAAATAGAAATAATAGAAATAGAAATACTGGACTAGACTAGACTATAGGCTAGACTAGACTAGACTAGACAACAGAATAGAAATAGAAATAGAAATAATAAAAATAGAAATACTGGACTAGACTAGACTATAGGCTAGACAAGACTAGACTAGACTAGACTAGAAATACTGGACTAGAGACTACTGGAGAATAGAGGCTAGGCTAGACTAATATAGAATAGAATAGAATAGAATAGAATAGAATAGAATAGAATAGAAATACTAGACTAGACTAGACTAGAACAGAACAGAGCAGACTAGAAATACTGGACTGCACTAGACTAGACTAGAACAGAACAGAACAGAACAACAGAACAGAATACAACAGAACTGGAAGGGACCTTGGGTGTCTGGGCTACCAGAGGCCAGAGTTTCTCATTGAGAGGGGCAAAGCAGTCCCTTTGGGTGGTCTAGCAGGCCCCCTCCCTCCCCTCTCACCCCTGCTGGGGTCTGCTGAAGGCCTGGCTCAGTGCTGACTGCTGCTTTTCTCTCTTGACAGCGAAGAAGACATTGCGAAGATCCAGGAGCTGGCAGGCCTCAATAAACTGGAAATAATCCCATTAGTGCAGACGTTCGGGCACGTGGAGGTAGGAGCAGCCGGCTGTGCTTAATTTGTCCCCTGTGCACTTTTGAGGAATGCGCAAGGCCTGGCCTGTTTTTGCACACATATCGTGTTCACACTCTTTGATGTTTGCACATGAGGCTTGAGTGAAATGGGCTCCAGCTGAGACATGCGCAACTGTGGCTCAGCCGGGGCCAACAAATTGTTCTGGCGTTTCAACAACACACGGAAGCTGCCTGCAGACTGAACCCACTTTCTGGTTTTGTGCAATCCATTCGACCATAAGCTCAACCGAATAGGCTGGATTTGCCTAATACGCCCAGCCACAAAATCTAAACCAGCCCTAACTTGAACTCAGTTGGCTGATTCTTTGGTTAAATTATCATGATTTGGGGCCAGTAGATTTTTATGGGTCGCATTCTCTGCTTTCACATGCTGATTTTCCTTTGGCAGTCTTCTTCTTCCACCTCTGCTCCTTAAAATTTGTTGTGGGCCATTCAGGACCAGAGTGAAGATTATACTGTACAAAATCTATGTGATACTTTGATTGTGGGGACAGTAAAATAGGCTCACCCAAAAGCATGTGTGCCTTTTCATAAAGTTTGCTAGTTGGAAAAGGCGCTAGAAGACCCCTGAATTCTGTCCTGTAGAGCCATAAACCAAAGAGAAGGCCTGATCCTTCTACCTCATTTTGCTCTGGCCTGTGAATAAGACTGGTGGCTCCCCAACTAAACAAAGTAAGGTGGGGGTTCAGCCAGATGCTTTAGGCCTGGTTAGTCTGGAGATGGGCTGGGCACCTGAGCAAACAAACAAAGCTGGCTTTCTTAACAGAGTGACAGCCCCTGATTCCCCACTCTGAAGGGATAAACATAAGAGCAGCACCTCCAAGAACTAGACCCAGAAAAGGGTTTCATTTTTTTTATTTAACTTTCATTTATTTTCAGTATAAAAGGATGAAAAAGAATCTGCCATGAACAATTTAATACTGTTGGAGAGCCACAAGAACAGCTGATTGATGATAGTTTAGAGCAGGGGTAGGCAACCTTGGCTCTTTTATGACTCGTGGACTTCAACTCCCAGAATTCCTGTGCCAGCCATGCTGAGGGGAAAGGGAGAGGTTTCCAAGCTGAGCCATGATAGCTCAGGAATTCTGGGAGTTGAAGTCCACGAGTCATGAGGGGGCTGTAGTTCCCCCATGCTGCCTCAGGAATTCTGGGAATTGAAGTCCACAAGTCTTAAAGTTGCCAAGGTTGAGGACCCCTGATATAGGGCAGGGGCGGGGAACCTTGGCTCTTTTATGACTCGTGGACTTCAACTCCCAGAATTCCTGAGCCAGCCACGCTGAGGGGAAAGGGAGAGGTTTCCAAGCTGAGCCAGGCTGGCTCAGGAATTCTGGGAGTTGAAGTCCACGAGTTATAAAAGAGCCAGGGTTGCCTACCCCTGGTTTAGAGAAAGGTTATTTTTTATACAGGCAGTCCTCGACTTCCACAATTGAGCCCAAAATTTCTTTGGCTAAGTGAGACATTTGTTAGGTGAGTTTCGCCCCATTTTACGTCCTTTCTCGCCATTGTTAATCACTGCAGTCGTTAAGTTAGTAACAGGTTTTAAAGTGAGTCTGGCTTCCCCATTGACTTTGCTTGTCAGAAGGTTGCAAAAGGGGATCACGTGACCCCAGGGGGATGCTGCAACCGTCGTAAATATGAATCAGTTGCCAAGTATCTGAATTTTGATCAGGTGACCCTGGGGAGCTGCAGTGGCGGTCATAAGTGTGAAAATCAGTCCTAAGTCACTTTTTTCAGTGCCGTTGTAACTTTGAGCGGTCACTAAATGAACTGTTGCAAGTCAGTGACGACTTTTAAGTCATTGAGAATTTGAAGAGGAACTTCACAGAGAAGTTAATAGCTTACCAAAACTTTTCTGCTGGGATTGGAAGTTCTGTGACTGCATCTCTGCCATTTTTTTTTTTTTTTTTTTTTTGGTAAAACCTGATTTCTTTTGTGGCTAAAGGGATTGGCAAATGGGGTTCTTGCTTGTTAATCAGATAGTAAATTGTTAAAGGAGCTAAAAAATTTGGTAATAAACCCCCAAATGCCACTGTTGCACTCATCTTTTTGAGACAAAGGATTTCATGGTGAAGATAAAGAAATAAAAGAGATTGTGCAGGTTCTACTAGTAAGGACTACTAGGAACCCCCTGGTTGAGATTTGGTCTGGGGACCTTCCGTGGTGCTATTTTGCTGTCTAGAACTGGATTTTGTGACCCAAATCCTTTGTGATCAAAATGATTAATTGATATTATTTAAAAGGGGATGCGAAGACCTCCCTGCTTTAGAGCCAGCTCCTGTAAAAGATGGGTGGGGGCTGTTCTAGTTCATTTCTGCAGGCCTGTTTGAGGGCACAAATAGATGTTGTGGGAAAGCCCAGTGAAAAAGACAAGAGACAGCAACACAAAGGAATACTTCTTACTTTAAGATTCAGAGGTTTATTTCAGCAATAATTTGGAACACACACACATAAATGTTACTTACGTTAAAAATCCATTGCAATGCAGTCCAATGACATAGCAGTTCCAATAAGGACAGCTTATAGGCTGGTGGCAAATCAATCAGGTTTAGTCTCAACCTTTTATGCCCTTTCTTATCCTAAGACCGTAGACAGATGGTCAGCAACCTTGCATTTTCTGCTGACTTTCTGCTGACCATAACTTTCCTCATACCCATGTACATCTGAACTTGCATCCATCAATTACTTTCAGTTCCCCATTTCTCACAGTTCCAGTCCTTATGTTCTAAATATATTTGAAACAAGCAAGCTTAGCAAAATCATATTAAGTAAAGTACAGTTGCAGTTTAGATTACAAATGGATTGTAATCTAAATTTCGGATTGTAAAACTGAGCACAGCACAAACTTTGGTTCAATACTTTCCCATGAGGCCTGATTTAATTCACCTGGGCCTAAATCTTGCATAGAAAAACAATAGTCAATATTTTCGTTTTCTACAGAGAGAACCTGCCACTGGCTCAGAGTCGCTCCCAGCAGGAACAATGTCCTGTTCCCAAGCCCTCTGTGCCTCTTTCATTCCAGAATGAAAATAAAATAGAATCTCAATTCAGAACAAACTCTAATTTCCAGCAGTTCAAAACAGTGATACAGATAGTCCTCAACCCAGGACTGGGCAGTTAGCGTTTATTCAAAGTTATGATGGACTTCTCCAGGCCTACTTCCAAACCAGATTTGAACTTCCAATGGGTGGATCCCCCTGCAGTCATGTGATCGCATTTTGGACACTTGGCAAGTGGCCCGTATTTATGGCCATTTGCAGTGTCCTGCAATCTGTGACTTTTTTTGCTGAAAAACACCCCTTGTGGACAATGTATCCACTTAATGACAGCTGCAAAAATGTCTTAAACTGAATGCAAACACATGGTGACCTGCTTAACGACCGGCATGACTTATGACTGTAATTCTGGGCTCTATGATGGTCATAAGTCCAGGACTCCTGTAGTCCCATTTAAATACTCAAATTGTCTACTACTGCACTCAAAGGTGAGTTAACGATCTTGAGATGTTTCTTCACAAATTTAATCAGAACTGTACAGACTGACTTCAAAAGCTGAAATTAAATGTGTTTTCAACCGACATGCCCAAAACATTGTATGATCCAAATCTGCAATATAGAAATGGAGTTTGAAATTAAGTAGAAAAGAGTAACAAGGATTGCTTTAAAGGAGGAATAAAGCAGGAAGTTCATAATCCATCCGAATTTTCTTTTGAAAATCCAAATCAAGCAATTTGATGAAGATCTCTAGACCCTATTTGTCTTCTTGCTACTCAAGGAAACAGTCGTGCATAACATTCTTCCATCTGCGATTGGTGATAAAAGAGCCATTGTAGTTCTAACATATATAAAAAAAGAGCACGGTTAATGCTACATTTGTTTATCAGTCAGTAAAGTTTGCTTCATGCATTTATCCAGCAAAGGGTGAAATGTCAGGAATATTTTCCTTGTAAAGCAGGCTAGAAGTGAACAAGTCCAGCCAACAGTTATAACTTCTCTTAATGCTAGAGAAATAGTTAAAAGAAATATTTTGTAACAGACTGAAATAGTAGCAAACAAAAAATGTTTTGTCAGTAGCAAACAAAAGCTTTAAAAGCCCAGACATTGAATCTGCGCAGATTTTGAGTTGTACATTTATTCTCTCAGAGCTAACGTTTCTTCTTCGGTGGATTTTTATAGATTGGCTTTAATAAAATAAGTACGTTTTCTTGCTTTCTACTGATTTAAAACTCCCTTGTAAAGACCAAATATGCTAAGATATTATCCATCCATCTGTGTCTCCCCCAAGTGGCGGTGGTGGTCGTGGTGGTCTCAACATCTTTTTTACATCGTGGTGACCAAAACTGGATGCAGGATTCCAAGGGTGGCCTTACCAAGGCCTTGTAAAGTGGTATTAACACTTCACGTGATCTTGATTCTATCCCTCTGTTCATGCAGCCTAGCTCTGTGTTGGCTTTTTTGGCAGCTGCAGCACACGGCTGGCTCATATTGAAATGATGTCCACTAGGACTCCGAGGTCCCTCTCACAGTTACTACTATTGAGTAGCAGGTAGTCCAGAAACTCTTTCAGTAGTCTGATTTGCCCGCCCTAACACAACAGGCTCTGCGGAAGTGCTAGAATTACTGCCTCTGCAGCAAGCCAAGAAGATTTTTGTGCTCATCAGGAATATCTTTTCTATTTTCATGCTGTAGATCAGGGCTCTCTAAACTTGGCTGGCTGGCTGAAGAATTCTGGGAGGTGAAGTCCACAAGTCTTAAAGTTGCTAACTTTGGAAACTCCTGCTCAGGATCAATGTGGCTGGGGAATTCTGGGAGTTGGAAGTCTATGCATTTTAAAGTTGCCAAGATTGAGAAGGTCTTTTGTATACATTCTAGGGTGCTTAACTTCTTGTTCAGTATCAGTATTGCTCATCTTCTAATCATGATTCCTGCACCTTTTAATGAACAAGAGAAATTTAGTTTTAGCTTAATTCCTTTCTAGGTTTTGTTGATGCAGTGACCTATCCAGGCAAAAAGTTCGTAACAACCTTCTGGTGGGCTAGTATCTTTTCTAGCCTTGAATGGGAGACTTGTCTCCCGTGAACTCAGCGCTGGCCTTGGCCCAGGTCCACTTCTCCACAGCATGGCTAACAGTTACTTCTTTCTTTCTTTCCTTCTTCCTTCCTTCCTTCCTTCCTTCCTTCCTTCCTTCCTTCCTTCCTTCCTTCCTTCCTTCCTTCCTTCCTTCTTTCTTTCTTTCTTTCTTTCTTTCTTTCTTTCTTTCTTTCTTTCTTTCTTTCTTGCAGTTCATCTTGAAGCATGACAAGTACCGGCATCTGCGTGAGGTGGAGCGTTTCCCCAACAGCTTCAACCCCCACCTGCCAGAGACCCTGGCTCTCCTGAAGGCTCTGCTCACCCAGGTCCTCAGCAAGCACCCCCACTCCAGTTGGGTACACATCGGGGCCGATGAGGTACATAGAGGGATGGGGGGTCTGCTGCCTGGGTGGGAATCCCTCTCTCTTTGGACATGGTGTTCGTCTAATTTGGCAGAGAGAGCAGTTTACCGTTGGTTTGAGTTAGTTGCTAAAAGAATGACCCTGCAGGCATGAAAGCTGGATCCCATTTAAAGGTAATTCCCCAAGCCCGGCCTTATTTTCTGTGTTAACCTCATGCCTCAAGGTCGCATTGCCAAGATTTGATGGCCAAAAAGCCCTTTTCTGTGGCGGGTTTAAGGCCTATCTGGGGCCACAGTGGTGCCTGGGATCCTCAAGTGGGTTGAAAGCAGCCAAACCTGAATGGGTAACAGAAATGAATATGCAAAACATCCAGTATAAGCCTGAGACATTGTTGTTAGGAATTCTTGAAAATAATGTTAGTAAAGAAGATATACCGTAAATGCAGGCATATAAGACGACTTCCGCGAGCACTGAAACCGGCGCCAAAGACGGGGGTCGTCTTATACGCTGAGTCGTCTTATACGTCGGAAATACTGGTAGTTTCCGGCGTATAAGACAATGTTCTAGGAATGCGGCCCAGCTATAAAGACGGGGGTCGTCTTATACGCCGGGTCGCCTAATACGCCGGCATATACGGTATATTTATTCACTTGTGGTTACAGCGGCAAGAATTGTATTTATTTATTTATGAGACTTATATACCGCTTTAAGTGCAAGCACTCTCTAAGCAGTGTACACCAGTAAGCAATGTATATATATATTTACATTGCCCCCAACAATCTGGGTCCTCATTTTACCTACCCCGGAAGGATGGAAGGCTGAGTCAACCTTGAGCCGGTGAGATTTGAACCGCTGACCTGCTGAACACAGTCAGCTAAAGTGGCCTGCAGTTCTGCACTCTAACTGCTGCGCCACCTTTGCTCAAAATTGGAAAGCTACGGCTATACCTAGTGAGGAAGTCTTAATTCATAAAATTATGCACTGCGCAGAATTAGATAGGTTAACTAAGAGACTCAAAAATCAGGATGAAACGGGTTTTTACCAAATTTGGGATAAATTTTATAGATGGTGGGGGAAAAAAATATGGTAGTCATTGTAATGAGATAAGTTAAGATTGAGATTAGTGATGTTATTGTAAAGGTTTTTTTTTCTTATATTAGTAGTTAATTGTGAATATGAACTGTGATGTATATCAAATCTGATTTACCACGTTCAATGTTTTTAATTTTTGTTATTCAATAAAAAATATTTAAAAATAAAAAAATAAAAGAAAGCAGTCAAACCTTTCAGGACACCTCAAGGACAGCAAGACATGTCCTCGTCCTCACTGTGATAACTTTTGGGAGATAGGACAACCGTTTGTCTGAAATGGTATAGGGTTTCCTGCCTAAGCAGGGGGTTGGACTAGAAGACCTCCAAGGTCCCTTTTCCACTTCTGTTATTCTGTCCTGTTGTTCCCAGCTGTTTTCCCAGTTCAGGATCCTGAGAAGTAACTCGCTTATCTGTCTCGCCCACTAAATGGCAGATTTTCTGCCTCTCCCTTTCAGGAGATGTTTTTCTCCAGCAGCCCTTTGGGGAATTAAGCAAGTAGCAAAGCAGCACATAACGTTTTGCACCCTTCTGTGTCACACATGGGGAGGAATTTCCTTGGCCTTCTGACAGACCTTCCCTTTGCGCACACGTAGACAGGCGAGATCTGCTTTTGTCATTACAGAAGGAGATCATTCAGAACTGGGACTCTGGGAGGTTATCCTCACATTTCACAAGGGAACAAAAAGGAGGAAATTGCATGCAGGTAGTCCTCCACTTTGGACCACGATGGAGCCCCAATTTCTGTTGCTAAGCGGGACAGTTGTTAAGTGAACTTTGCCCCATTTTACGACTTTTCTTGCCACAGTTGTTAAGTGAATCGCTGCAGTTGATAAGTTAGTAACCTGGTGATTAAGTGGCTTCCCCATCGATTACGCTTGTCAGAAGGTCACAAAACAGGATCACGTGACTCCGGGTGCTGCAACTGTCATAAGTACATGCCAGTTGCCAAGCGTCTTGAGTTTTGATCCCGTGACCATGGGGGGGGGGATGCTGCAAAGGTTGTAAATGTGAGAAGCGGTTGTAAGTCACCCTTGTAACTTTGAACAGTCACTAAATAAACTATTGTAAGTTGAGGACTACCTGTATTTCTAAAAAAAAAAAAAATTCTTTTAAAAGCCTGATTCCTTCGTTATTTTATTTTATTTATTTTATTTTTGCAGCTTTAGCAATTTCGAGAACATTTGGGAGCAAAGCCATGCTTCTTTATCAGCCTGCTGTTAATAGCATTGACTGAGTTTAGTACAGAAAACTGTTAGGAAAGTCTTCCAAGTTACACTTGGACCTGCCTGTTACCAAAATTAGCCTCTGCAATGTGTTAAAACAGTGTTTCTCAACCTTGACAATTTTAAGGCATGTGGACTTCAACTCCCAGAATTCCACAGCCAGCAACGCTGGCTGTGGAATTCTGGGAGTTGAAGTCCACATGCCTTAAAATTGTCAAGGTTGAGAAACGCTGTGTTAAAAGCAGCAGTTGCGTATATCTGTGCTTCTGAGTTTCCCAGTTAATCATTCACCCAGGCATTAACAGGCATTTATTCAATGACTTGGTTAATGTTTCTGAAGAGGGAACTGAAGCAGGATGAGGCTTGGGTAGCTATGGGTGGGGTGGGGTGGGGGTCTTCAAAGAAGAAGATCTCAGGCTTCTCGATGAAGCGAGAATACACTCTGTGCAGTCACTGAGAAAAGAGTGGGGAGCTGTCCACCCCAGCATCAGCAGGAGAAGACGTCTCCTTTGCTAACCTAAAAGCCTGGCTGTGCAAGGAGGGCTTTTGAGGGACTCTTCCGCTTCCGAGTGGAGTCATTCCGCCTCTTGGTAGCCCAAGCTGGAGGGAGCATTTAACAGAATAACAGAGTCAGAAGGGACCTTGGAAGTCTTAATAATAATAATAATAATAATAATAATAATAATAATAATAATAATAGTAACAACAACAACAATAACAACAACAACAGCAACAGAATAGAAGAGAAAGAGCTGGAAAAGATAACAAAATACAAAGACCTACAAATAGAAATAGAAAGACTGTGGCAAAAGCAAACAAGGGTAGTACCAATAGTAACAGGCTCCTTGGGTGCAATCCCAAAACAACTGGAGCACCACTTGAACACTATTGGCATTGACAAATTTGCCATTAGTCAATTGCAAAAGGCAGCCTTACTAGGAACTGCTTCCATCCTGCGACGATATCTGTAATACCATCAAACATCCACATCTGCCTATCCCGGGTCCTGGGTAAGGACTCGATAGGCAGACAAAATGCCAAATCCAGTCTGAACATCTGGCTGACTGTGCTATGATCCATAATAATAATAGTAGTAGTAGTAGTAAAGTAAAGTTGGAAGCAACCTGCTCAAGCAGGAAACCCTACACCATTTCAGACAAATGGCTGCCCAGTCTCTTCTTAAAAACTTCCAGTGTTGGAGCATTCACTGCTTCTGGAGGCAGGTTGTTCCACTGGTTAATTGTTCTAACTGTCAGGAAGTCTCTCCTTAGTTCTAGGTTGCTTCTCTCCTTGATGAGTTTCCATCCGTTGCTTCTTGTCCTGCCTTCAGGCGCCTTGGAAAATAGCTTGACTCTCTCTTCTTTGGGGCAGCCCCTGAGATACTGGAAGACTGCTCTCATGTCCCCCTTCATCCTTCTCTTCATTAAACTAGACATATCCAATTCCAGCAGCCTTTCCTTATATGTGTTAGCCTCCAGTCCCTAATCATCTTTGTTGCTCTTCTCTGTACTCTTTCTAGAGTCTCAACATCTTTTTTACATCGTGGTGACCAAAACTGGATGCAGTATTCCAGGTGTGGCCTTACCAAGGCCTTGTAAAGTGGTATTAACACTTCATGTGATCTTCATTCTATCCCTCTGTTAATGCAGCCTAGCACAGTGTTGGCCTTTTTGGCAGCTGCAGCACACGGCTGGCTCATATTTAGGTGATTGTCCACTAGGACTCCGAGGTCCCTCTCACAGTTACCACTATTGAGCAAGGTCTTCTAGTCCAACCCCCTGCAAAAGCAGGAGTCCCTCTACCATTCCAGACAAGTGACTGTCCAATCTCTTCTTGAAAGCCTCCAGTAATGGAGCACCCATCACTTCTGGAGGCAAGCCCTTCCACTGGGTTGTCACTGTTAAGAAATTTCTCCTCAGTTCTAGGTTGCGTCTCTCCTAGATCTGAGAACTTCTGTCTGGAACAGCCCCATCTTTGTCAGGTGCAGGAGGAACCCCTCCGCCTTTCAACCCGCCTCAAAACGAGGGATTAGGATGATTGCTCCAGCCACGGTGAAGGGGCAGAGTCTGCTGGGAAAGGAGCCCCCGCTCCCCGCATTGCTCAGGCACTTCTTTGGCCCTGCAGGTCTTCCACTTAGGTGAAGGGGCGGATTCAAAGAACTGGATGAGCCACAACGGGGGCGACACGGGCAAGATGTACTTGAACCACATCCGGGAGGTGGTGCACTTCATCGCCAGCCAGCCGTGGGGGCTGCAGGTGCTGCTCTGGGACGACATGCTGCGGAAGGTTGGCATCGCAGCCATCCAAGGTCAGTGCCATCCGCCGGGACCTTCCTGGGCTGTCGCTGGGGTTAGCCCGCCTGATCTTGCAGTGGTTTTCCTTGGAACTGTTCCTGCACACCTGGATGGTGGTGAGGTCCATGGCTCTGATTGGTTGAGCTGCCCTTACGTCACGGAGGGAGGCTGGGCAAGCAAAAAAATTGGGGAGGCTGGGCGGAGCTGGTCATAGAGAAGAGCGGGAGAGACAGGCCAACATGTGCACCAAGCAGCTCAGGAGATGGGGTGGGCAGAAGAGAGACCCCCCACTGCCAAAAGAAGGTCCAGAGAAGTTGACCCCTTGATATGAAACCACCCAGCCGATTCTGGGCTGCAGGGCCTTCATTCTTCATTCAGGGTTATGGACTGGCAGAAGCCGCCTATGTATCTCATCCCAGAACTGATGTCTTTCAGATTCCGGCATTGCCAAACACGCGTCTCCCGTGCTGTGGTTTTACGCGCCAGACTTTGACACGCAGCAAATAGGTTGGCTTCCCATCTTTTCTTTTCACCTCTTTGCAGGGCATGCAGGGAGGTTAAAGCCGCTAATGTTTCTTGAAAGGACTCCTGGCTTTCTTTGAATGCCCAGTTGGCACACAGGGAGGCGTCCCCTAACTTTAATCCCTCCCAGCCACGTTCCTGGGCGCTTGGCGTGCCCGAGAAAGGGAGGCTCTGGATGTTGCTTTGCACAGGACCCCACAGGCTCCACCTCAAAAACGAGGGCACCTCTTCAATTCTGAGCAGCCTGCAGCCCAGGGCTGGCCTTGAGCACGGGCGATCCTCTCTCTCTCTCTCACTCCTTACTCTAGGAAGGTACATTGAAAAGTACGCCGAGTGCGGCTTTCCAACCATCTGGTTTGCAAGCGCCTTCAAAGGCACCACGGGCCCCGCCCAGGCCTGGACCCCCTTAAACACTCACCTGCAGAACCATCTGCGATGGCTGAAAGTCATGAAGGTCACGGAGAAGATGTCCTCCATCCATTTCCAGGGCATCGTACTCACCGGCTGGCAAAGGCAAGTGGGGGGGGGAGTGTCTGTTTGGCCCCCCCCAGGAACCGCAGCCCTCCGTCAGCTGCACCCGCGGGAGAAGAAGGGCCCAGCCTGGCTTCAAGGCTCCTCCACAGACAGCAGTGCCCTCTGCCAAGGCTTTAGGCGGGTGGGGTTTCCTTTGGGCTTCGCCAGTGGAAGGCTGGCAGAGGCAGAACCGCCCCCCCCCAGCCTTGTTTAGCTCTCCAGGGAGGACTGGAGTCACAGGGGGTCCAGATGCTGAGCTCAGGTGTGCCTTGTGCCATTGCCCTCCGAAAAGAAATGCCCAGACATAGCACCGCCTCTTGCCCCTGAGATCCCCCCACCCAAAAGAAAAAAGAGGCTCTCTGCAGCCTGGGGTTTGTTCTCTTCCCCCCCCCTTCCAGTTCTTGCCTTTTGCATTGCCAGCGAGGAGAAGGAGATCTACTGCCCGGATAGGCAAAAATGGGGGGATCCAGTGGGTCACAAAGAGAGCAATCCCTTTCCTGTTTCCTCTGTGCAGGTACGACCACTACTCTGCTTTGTGTGAGCTGCTACCTGTCGGGATCCCCTCGCTGGCCGTGTGCTTGCAGACCCTGGTGAATGGTGAGGGGGGGAGCTTGGGCATTGGTGGGGAGGGGGAAGGTGGGCAGGAGTCATGGACCATTTCCAAGTTGCGGTGGAGGCGATGCAACTATTGGATTGTGGGGAGGGGTCCACACACCTTTTGTTAGGGCAACCTCTCTCCGATTGGCAGGACTTTGGTGCCCCCAAGTGGTGCATTGAAGAACAGCTGCCTCCTCCACGGATGCCAGACCCTCCTCTCTCGGGTGGTCGTGGCAAGTCCGCCCCCCCCCAGCTGCCCCCCCCCCAAAAACCCTGCCAGAAGGGGGGCTGGAGCCCCCCCTCCCTCGTGGGGAAAGAGATGCAGTGCTTGCGTCTTAGAAAAAGCTTTTCCTAAATTCTGTTTGATTGGGAGAAATTTTCCTTCTCCTCGTACTTGCGGGATTGTTTAAATTATTTCATTACAAGCGCATGAGGAGTTAAAAACTATATATTTTTTGGGGGGTGATACATAATTAATTTCCAGACTCTGCCTCAGGAAGGATAGGCAGGGCCGCTGGACGGCTCTGAAGCGATTAAAACAGATCAAATGACTGGCTTGCCTCATCCCAAGAAGCCAGCATGCCTGGTTTGAGCCAGGCTAGCCTGGTACATGAACTTAGCCAGGCTGGTTTGTAAAATCCGGTTTCTGGCAGGTGGGTAGACAGGCATTCCTGGGTGTGAGCAGGGCTGGGTTTTCTACACATTTATTGTGTCAGGGTGCTTGAGGGACGAAGGGGCTCCCTTAGCCAGATGTTCAGGAAAACTGACCATGTCCTCAGCTATGCCCATCACAGCTCTCGGGCTCAAAATTGCCCAGCCTGGTTCCTGCCACTCCCGGCAGTGTTAACTCTCAGTCAAGGTTAGCTCCACACAGGCAGGTTGTGGTCTTGTGCAACGTCTAATCCGGGTCGGGGATTACAGAGGCATAAATTAAAGAGCTGGCTGAACAACTGGCGGAAGAGGGCTGTCTTTGTGAAGCAGGGCAAGGAGGATGATATGGAGGGCAGGGACTTGGCCGCAACTGGACCAGTCAGGAGTCAAAAAAAAATCCCAGGCTCATTGGGGGTGGCGCACCCGAAAGGCACTTGTTGCTGTTGCAAGCCCCTTTCCAGGGCTCTGATGCCCATGTGCCTGGTGTGGCCCCCCCCCCCACCTCCCAGAAGTGATCTGGTCAGTTGGATGAACAAAAGTCCAGGCAAGAGGCAGACCCTCCACTGCAGCCCCCAATTCTTCTTTGAAGAGAGAGGAGGCTTCATTTCCGCCCTGGGGATGGATCTGGGCCAAAGTGCCTTGTGGGCAGCACAAGGGCCTCCCCCCCCCAACCTGGCACTCTTCCAAAGCCCCTTAAGTCACAAACCGCAAAGGCCGTTTACAGCGGACTCTCTCCTCTATGCCCGTGTCTTCCCTGGGGCGGCCTTGCCACCCACCACTAAGCCAGGGCATCCCCCCCCGGCTTCCGTGCCGCTTTGAGCAGCCAGATCAAGGGCAGATTACAGGCAGTCCTCAACTTAGGGCCACAACTGAGGCCCAAATTTCTGTTGTTAAGCGAGACAGATGTTAAGTGACCTTTGCCCCATTTTACGACCTATCTTGCCACAGTTGTTAAGCGAATCACTGCAGGCTAAGTGAATCTGGATCCCACATTGACTTTGCTGGTCAGAAGGTCGCCAAAGGTCACATAACCCTAGGACAGTGCATCCATCATAAATACGAGGCCAAGCATCTGGATTTGAGCCGAGGTGGCGCAGCAGTTAGGGTGCAGTACTGCAGGCCACTTTATCTGACTGTGTTCAGCAGGTCAGCGGTTCAAATCTCACCGGCTCAAGGTTGACTCAGCCTTCCATCCTTCCGGGGTCGGTAAAATGAGGACCCAGATTGTTGGGGGCAATGTAAATATATATATATATATATACATTGCTTACTGGTGTACACCGCTTAGAGAGTGCTTGCACTTAAAAGCGGTATATAAGTCTCATGAATAAATAAATAAATAAATAAATAAATAAATAAATTTCGATCACGTGATCCTGGGGATGCTGCGAAGGTCATAAATGTGAAAAACGGTCATAAGGAACTTTTTTCAGTGCCGCTGTAACTTTGAATTATCACTAAATGAACAGTGGTAAGTCCGAGAACGACCTGTACCCATGTTATGTGCAGACAAGTCCGTGTTTACGGACAGCACAGCTGTTTTCTCTGGGTTACCTTGCTGCGGCTCCACACACCGGTCAGCCACGTCTCCCCCAGGCCAGGCAGGCAGTGGAGCAGAGCCCTTCCCTCACCGGCCCCCTTCCCCCTCCTTCTGTCCCCCAGGAGGCTTCACTGAGGCTGCCAAAAAGAAAGTCCTGGCCATGCTTGGCTTCCAGAACCTGCACCTGGAAAAGAGCACCTGGTGCGTATACACAAGGGGTGGAGGTGGGGAGGGCTTTGCTCTGTCCAGGCCGGAGGCTAATTACGGGGGTCTGCCTTTAAGTCGGCCGTTCCTAGCCCAAGGGTACTCCAAAGCTCATCACCCCTGGCCAGGGGAGCCCATGATGGGCTAGCAAAGGCTGGGCTAAGAGCCCGGGCAGGGGCGCCTGGGTCTTTCTCCACTTTCTGGACCGGAGGAAATGGAAGGCAGCCACTTGCATCCCAGAGTTGCTGCTGAAAATCTCCTTGTGTCTTCCCAGCGAAGGAACTGGGGCATTTCCGGGCTCCGATATCTACCGCATGGTCGAGCAAGTGGACGGCCAGCTGAAGGACTCAGTCACCAAAGTCTTGGAGGAGGAAAGGTGGGTGCCTGCCGTGGCAGAAGGGCCCCTGGTGCCCCACAGCATTGGCTTGGCCAGGAGGTGGGCCGGGCCCCAGGTTCCCCTTGTCTCCCCCCCGCTTGCCCCGTTCCAAGGCTGAACTCCCCCCCCCACTCTGGATCTTGGTTTGGAGCTTCTCAAGGTCAGAGAGAAGTTGGGGGTTCTGCCCCCCCCCAGCAGAGATTTTTTATCCAAAGTTCTTAAAAGGAACCTTGCTCCCATTTGGCTGGACCTCCTGCTCTGTTCACAGCTGGTCCCCGACTTACGACTACAATTGAACCCCAAATTTCTGTGGCGAAGCCAGATAGTTGTTAAGTGAATTTTGCCCCATTTTAAGACCTTTCTTAAAGGTCTTAAAGTGGTTAGGTTGTTAAGCGAATCGCTGCAGTTGCTACGTTGGTAACATGATTGTTAAGTGAATCCGGTTTCCCCATTGACTCTGCGTGTCAGAAGGCCGCCAAAGGGGGCTTGGCAAAGGTCACACATCCCAAAGGCGACTGGACTTTCTTGGTTTTTTCCTTGAAAACCTTTCACTTCTCATCCAAGAAGCTTCTTCAATTCTTGTAAGGAACCACTTCAATCCACATCTTAAGAAAGCAGAACTCTTGGAAACAGTCTCTTCCAACAGGAACTTTTATTAAGAGAAATTGATAGTAGGCATAATAGACAGGATCTGAGGGGTTCCCTCACAAATCAATGTTTTAAAGTGTCCTTAAGCAGCCCCCCACCCCACCCCACAGTTCTTCCAGGCGATTCAAACCAGCAGATTTCTAGGTGTTAAACCCAGGAAAGATAACATCAATCCGGCTCCGTTGTACACGATCATGCAACAGCCCCTCACCCCTTATTTTGATGACAGATAAATAAACCAGATCCCTGAGGCTGCATCTTTTCAACCCCCCCTTGTCATAGCTGCCCGGTGAGGAGGAGAAGGCATAGGATAAGAGGCAAATGGTTACATTGTAATGGTTAGCAGAGGCGAATAAACAAAAGGTGACTTTGTAGTGAATAGAGGAAGTGAGAGTAATAAAATCCCCCTCCCCCTTGGGAGTATGGCAGGACCCAGGAAAGGGTAAGAATTGGTTTTAGATCAGAGGAGATAGATAGAAAGGAAATACAACTGGATCCTGACAGTTCTTCAGAACTGGCTGGGGAATTCTGGGAGTTGAAGTTCATCCAACTTAATGTGGCCAAGATTGAGAAACACTGGACTAGTCTGTTTAAACTGTGTGTGTGTGTGTGTGTGTGTGTGTGTGTGTGTGTGTGTGTGTAAGTTATTGTTGCAAGCAGCTAAGGGATGGGTGGCAGGGACAGAGACAGAGCCATAACCTTTTAAGGCTAGGGTTAAGAGCAGTGGCGGGATTCAAATAGGTGAACCACTGGTTCTCTGCATGGATGCCGCTTCCGGAAGTCTGGGCCTGGGCAACAAAAAAGTAGCTACCGGTTCAGCGGAACTGGTGCGAACTGGCTGAATCCCACCATTGGTTAAGAGCCGTGGTGGCGCAGTGGTTAGAATGCAGTATTGCAGGCAAACTCTGCGCACTGCCAGGAGTTCGATCCTGACCGGCTCAAGGTTGAGCCTTCCATCCTTCCGAAGTTGTTAAACTGAGAACCCAGATTGTTGTGGGTAAGATGCTAACATTGTAAAACCGCCTAGTGAGTGCTGTAAAGCACTACGAAGCAGTATATAAATCTAAGTGCTATTGCTATAATTATATGGCTGCTGTCCAGTTCCAGGGACTCTTTCAAGTCTCTCCTTGTCTCACCTGCTAGGATTTCGTCCAAGCTTCACCGAATATTTCTCTCTCTCTAATAATGCAGCTCCATCAAGGGATGGTTCAGCCCGTATCACCGCAAGCATCAGTTCGGCAACCCACGAAACATGGAAAGCTTCGGCAGCAAAGTGCTCAAGTGAGTGGACAGCTGAGTAGCTGGATCCCAGAGGGGGTAGGATCCCAGCCCAGTTCTTCTCTCTCCCCATATTGGTGTAAAAGGCACAGATCTTTCCCTTTATTGGAACTTCCTTATCAAATTCAGTTCGTTTTCAAGAGAAATTGCATCTTCCAAGAGATGGTCCACAAATGGCTGCAAAGAGAAAGGAAGGCAAATATATTGGAAGATATTTTTTTTTTTAAAAAAACACAATCTGTCACTGTAGGACAGTGTTTCCCAAACTTGACAATTTTAAGGCATGTGGACTTCAACTCCCAGAATTCCACAGCAACGCTGGCTGTGGAATTCTGGGAGTTGAAGTCCTCATGCCTTAAAATTGTCAAGTTTGGGAAACACTGCTGTAGGAGAATATGTAGAATGCTTAGAACATGCTTGGCTGGGGAATCCTGGAAGTCCACAAGTCTTAAAGCTGCCAAGGATGGAGAATCCAGCTCTAAGAGGTCAAGGGGCCCTTAATGGCGCAGGTGCCCCCTGCCTCCCTCCCTCCCAGCCTCAGACAGGTATCCTGCTCTTTCCCCCCCAGAGTCCATGAAGACTGGGAGAACACGATCCAGACTCTGCGCTCGCACCTGGAGAGCATCTACTTCCCTGACACCGTGGAGGAATGGATGGAGGAGAACGTCAACCCTCACATGGACCGCCTACGCGAGTTTGTCCGGGACTTCAAGGAAGTCATCCGCCTGAATGCCCGGCCAAAGACCCTCTAGGGAAGGGCCCCCTCCCAGGCACAAAGAGGGGGCCCATTCGTGGTTCAGTCCAACTTGGTTTTTCAAACTTGAGAGAACTTGAGGCTTCCAGGACAGGGTGGAGTGCCTCTTCTTGTGCTTGGCCACCAATATCTATTTCCAGCCAGTCTTGATGGATTTCTCCCAGGTTGGCACCTCCCCACTGGAGAAAGTGAATCTGTGGACCCATTTGGAGGGTGGGGGAGTAGAAATTCTGGTGGTGGGCTTTCCGGATGGAAGAGTTTTTGACCCTGATTTCCACTCCTTTCTATTTCTTCCTTTTCAATGTGGTTTAGTGCTCCCGGGACTGGCACTGTTGGTGACCGGCCTTCACCCCAGTGCTGCTCCTGGGCAGAGAAAGTGCCAGAGGGATGTGGGGAACGACCGCCCTGTTCTGACGGAGACGGAGGTGGGGGCATTGCTGAACGATGTTCGGTTTTCATCTTTCCAGCACCGTCCTTCAAAAATCCCTCCTCTTATCTGAAAACTGGTAGATTAACTTTTTCCCCGCTGAGACTTGAAATCCATTCTCATCTTTCATCGGTCACAAGGTTCTTCGTTTTGCTGGGAGGGAAAAAAAAAGACAGTTTTTGCTCAGCTGTAGTCAGAGTAGTGCAGTGGTAGCATCTTGGAACGGAGGCAACAAATTGGGGGGGGGGTGGAGAGGGAGACTTTGAACCTTCCTTCAGAGTCAGCAGACCAGGCCAAAGACTTGTTCCTTGGTGGTAACCAAGTTCTCCAGAACGTGAGATCAAGGACGCAGCCCTGGGGAGGGGGCAAAACATCCATGCCATGTCTGGCTGCTGCCCCCCCCACCCTGTCGGGCAGCTCCCGGGCTCTCTTGCCCCTTTTTCAGAATTCGGCTTGCCAAAGGCCCAAAGCTGCCTTGCAAGCCTCTGGCTAAAATCTTCCTGTCGTTGTTGACTCTGAATTTGCTTTCTCAGGGAGTGCGTAAAAGGACTTCCCATTTGCCACCCAGCCTAGTGTCTTGGTCAGATCCTTCCCCTTGTCCCTAGGGAGGGGGAGGAAGGGGTTGGAGAGAAATGGGAATTGCAAAGGCTATGTTCCCCCCACCACACTCTGTCACCCAGTCTTCCTGCCAAAGGGGGGGGGGGTTCCTGTGTCTCCTGCTTGCAGCTGCCTGTCCCAGGGTATTTATTGCTGGCTCAGTTGGTTCCTGGGCAGCCCAAGTGATGGGCAGGCGTGTAACCGAGCTCCCCTGCAAAGTGCCAGGTGGAGGCGGGTGGGCATTTTGAAAAGGCAGGTGAGAAAGCAGCCAGGGAAGCGGCGTCTGGCCACCTTCAAGGGAGGGAATGCAGCAGCTGCCTGGCGGAGGTGAGTGGAGCTAACAGGTAGCCGGGGCAGGTAGGAAATCCCCGCTGGTCCCCGAATCCCGCCATGCTTCTCTTTGCTGCTGTGTAGCTCAGGGCAGGGAGTGGGATGGGCACAAAGGAGGTGCTCTGCTAAGCCTGTGGCTGTTCTCGTAATCCCGTCTCGGCTGGGGGTCAGAGTCGGTGTGCAACTGGCCCAGAGCTGCTGTTTGGAGCCTTCTGCGCGCGGCACCTAAGTCCTTGGCTCCTGTAATTGTGGGGCTGACCCAGAGAGGCGAGGCGTGGATCCCCTTGGCTGCTTTCCCCAAGGGAGGGGGGATCTGGGCTTCCCAGGTGGTCTCTGCCAAGGAAAGCAGAAGGAGCTGGCTGCCCATTTCCCCCTTCTGTGGTTCCCTTCCCACCAGGAGAGGCACTCGGGGTGCCAACGGATCTGTTTTATAAGGCAGACTCGGCGTTAGTTGCTGTCTTGAAGAGTTAATTGTGCAGGAGAGTTGCTTCTGTGGTACCAAGGACAATAAAGTATTTTTTATAAGGATGGGCTCCTCTGTTGGCAAAAGCCACTGAAGTCGGCAGGAGAGGAGTTGCAGGACCTGCGGTGACCACCCAGCTCCTGGTTCAAATGAGGGAGGAGTTCTTGAGGAGGGGTTGTGCAGAGCTTCAGAGTGACTTCTTGAGAAACTGCGCTATGCTAATGTCAAAACACGGCATTAAAAGGATTTTAGGTTTTTAGAAAAAGCTACACAACCATCGAGATCAATCACGGGGGGGAGCACCTTATTATTCAGAGACTAATCGTGAAAAAGTTGCACAGCTACACACATCGACCTATCAGGAACAAAATACGTAAACCAGCCAGGTAAGCTCACAGACTTTGCAAAGCCGTGTTGTGTGAGCTCAGCTCTTGTGGTTATGCAAACTCAACCAGTTGTGGTTTAATAACGAAACGTGGCTCAGCAAATTTTCTAAACCAAGGAATTAGGTGTCTATCTAGAACTCAGCTATTCGAAGTCAGTGCTGAAAGTTCATTTTTTTGTAGCTAATAAGCAGGTTCCTCCAAATCCACCCCACCTCAAGAATGCAGAAATATTGGTGGGGGGGTGGCTGTGTTTGGTTTCCATCCTGGCAGGGCCTGGAGGGTTCAAATTAGGTGCTTCTGAGGTTTCCTGCTTAGCAGCTGACTTTCTGATAAGGACCCCATCTGGGTCCAGAAACAATATCCGTTTCAGCCTTGCTGTTGCCGCTGCGGTTTGCTGATCGGGGGCAGCCGATTGACACAGAGTTGTGTGTCTGGTCCTGTGGCTGTTTTCAGCTCCTGGGATCAACTTGAATGGAGAAAATGTTCACTAGCAAAATGAGGCCAGAAGCCCTTTTATGAAGGTGGATGGCCCTTCCCGAGTTTTGAGCTTCCCCGAAGCATCCATCATTTTTATTTTAATGCCTCTACGCTGCAGATTAAGCCTGGGGAAAGACCCAGAGGCCTGGGCCGTGTCTGCGATTCCAAAAGTCAGAATTATGTGGTGGTTTCCGTGCACCCCCCCCCCCAGGAGCAGAGGTTGGCCTTGAAAGAAGCAGGAGAAGAGAAGCGCCTTTGAAAACACCAAGAAAACAAACCTATGAATCATTGATCAAATCGACCCAGATTCTCACTCAAGGCACAAATGACGGAGCTCAAGTTCTCATATTGAAACATATTCTGTGCAAGCCTGGCTCCCTTGAGAAATCTCTGAAGTTGGGAAGAGTGGAAGAAAAGAAGAGGAGGATCAGCAGGAAGGTGGATAGATTCAATTACAACTGCAATTAATTCACTGGGATACCTAAAAGTTCAGGTCCAGGTCAGATCAGCCGGTTCCTGAGAATGATGGCTTCTGCAGTTCTAAGAGTTAGCATCAGCTTCAGACACCTAGTTAATCTGTCAAGGTTCCATTCCATTTCCATTCCAGGTAAAAATACTTAAGGCTGGTATTCACAGAATGATGTGAATAAAAAGGAATCGTGTTTAAATGCAGGTAAAGGTGAGCTTCTGCCCAAGAAGTTACTTTAAATCAGTGGTTCTCAACCTGTGGGTCGGGACCCCATTTGGGCTCGAACGACCATTTCACGGGGGTCGCCAAACAACGCAGTCCGCCATTTTTTCCCCCCTTTTCCTTTGCTGTGCTCCTCCCTTTTATTCTATTGGCTTTTGAAAGCCAATAGAATAGACTCTCTTGAATAGAGTCTAATTCTATTGGCTTTCAAAAGCCAATAGGAATTGCCCAGGCTGTCTCTGCCCTGCTGAGCCGGCCAAAAGTCCCATTCTGCCAACGGTGCTGCACCAGTTGAGTAGTCCTCGACTTACGACCAGTTGAGTAGTCCTCGACTTACGACCGGTTGGGGGTCACAGCATTAAAAAGGTTGAGAACCACTGCTTTAAAACATTTAAACATAATTGAAAACTGGATAAAAATTAAGTTTTGGAGTGTGTGCATTTCTATTATAGGTGGTGGGAGTCATTGGCAGTGCAGGGAACTTCAAGGGACCTTCGCATGTCACCATGATCCAAAAAAGTTGTTGAGACTTTGGAAAGGGTGCAGAGAAGAGCAACAGAGATGATTAGGGGACTGGAGGCTAAAACATACGAAGAACACTGGCAGGAATTTGGTCTGTCTAGTCTAATGAAAAGAAGGATTAGGGGTGATATGATAGCAGTCTTTCCACATTTGAGGGGCTGTCATAGAGGAAGGGGTCAACCTATTCTCTAAAGCACCTGAAGGCAGAACAAGAAGTAACAGATGGAAACTTATCAAAGAGAGAAGTAAGCTAGAAATAAGGAGAAACTACCTGACAGTGAGAACAATCGAACAGTGGAACAACTTCCCTCCAGAAGTTGTGGGTGCTCCATCACTGGAGGTTTTTAAGAAGAAACTGGACCATCTAGAATAGAATAGAAGTTGGAAGGGACCTTGGAGGTCTTCTAGTCCAGCCCCCTGCTCAGGCAGGAGAACTTATACCATCTCACACAAGTAACTGTCCAGTCTCTTCTTAAAAACCTCCAGTGATGGAGCACCCACCACTTCTAGAGGCAAGCTGTTCCCCTGGTTAATTGTCCTCACTATTAGGAAGTTTCTCCTTCGTTCCAGGTTGCTTCTCTCGTTTCTTGCCCTGCCCTCTGATGCTTTGGAGAATAATTTGACCCCCTTGTCTCTTGAAGGGCTAGGTGGGAATAGCAACAGCCAAAGGTCCTGTCTGGATTCAGTGCAAGTGGACTCACCGGTCCTCAAAGGCAGCCAGAGGCTGGATTCACCCAGCACAATAAACCACAGCTTCTTTTAAACAAGGTTTGTTGCAAAAACAAACCGTCAGTGGCTAGGTACGCACATGGTACAAAACGCGACGGCACCAAGTGATCGGCAACCAACTCGAGAGTTTTGCACCAGGGATCCGACTCAGCAGGTGCTGCGCTTGGAAGTAGCCGAGGGGTAGGAAAAAGGTCTGGATTCAGGTCTCCACTGGGCGATTTGGATTTGCCAGGGCTGATCAGCTGCCACGATCAGAGAGAGAGAGAGAGAGAGAGAGAGAGAGAGAGAGTGTGTGTGTGTGAGAGAGAGAGAGAGAGAGAGAGAGAGAGAGAGAGACCTGGATCGATTTCCTCGGAGAAAACCGGGGACAGCCGAGGGGGGCCACCACTGGTCCCTTGCCCCCCATCATCCCCTCCCACTTCAGAACCGTCCTGGTTGCAGGAATCGCCTCCTCGTGCGAACCACCCCGCAGCTCCCCCGGGGTCCCGCTGCTCCCGCCCGCCCTTCGGAGCCCTTCGCCCCCATCCAGGGAGTCTGGCAGCCCCGGGCGGCTTCCCCGACGACCCCGCGCGGCTCCCCCGTCCTCCCGCGCGCTCGGAGGCTCCGCAGGGGTGCCTCGCCTGCCGGCCCGCCCCCCGACAGCTTCGGGTCCCTCGGTTGAGATCCGGCGGAAGGAGCTCCCGCCGGGCCCTCTGCACATGTTCGGCGGCCTCTCTTTCCAGCCGAGACGCCGACACTCCACGAGGACTCGGGCGCCGTTCACCGCCCCGCCGGCACGGAGCGCGTCCGCCCGCTCGGCCGGCCGATGGCGAGGCGCGCCGAGCGCTCTGCACGTCTGTAGAGACTCCCTCACGCGGCTCCGCGCGGCTCCCCGATGAGCGGGCGCGGGCCTTCCGGGGAGGGCGCTCCGCCGGCGCCCCCCGCCCGGGCCACGCGAAGCGGGAGCCGCCTCCTTCGCCAGCGACGCCCCAGCAGGACGGCGGCGGCGGCGGCGGCGGCGCAGGAGAGGCGAGCCAGGCGCAGCTCCGGCGCGCCCGGCCATGGAGGGCTCGCCGCCGGCTCCGGCGGCCGAGGCGGGGAGCCGGTCCGGCCCGAGCCGGCAGGAGTGAGGGCGCCGCCGCCGCCAGCGCAGAGGAGGAGGCGGAGGCGGCGGTGGTGGCTGTGCTGAGCGAGCCCCCGCCGGAGCCCGGCAGCCGAGTTGTCCCCGCCCGCCGGCGAGGCGCTGCGCCCCGGCCGCGCGTCTCCATTGCGCGGCGTGACCGCGGTAGCCGCTGCAGCAAAGGAGCCGCCGCCGCCGCCGTCCCGCCCCGAGCCCGGCCGCTCCCGCCGCCCCTCTCCCGCCGGCTGGGGCGCGGCCGGGCATGAGCCGCCCCTGAGGACCCCGCCCGGGCCAGCCCCGCAGCCCAGCCCAGCCCCGCGGCCGCCGCCGCCGCCGCCGCCGCTCGCCATGGGCAAGGACCAGGAGCTGATGCAGGCGGTGAAGGCGGAGGACATCGGCGCGGTGCAGAAGCTGCTGCAGAGGCCCAAGCCGGGCAAAGCCAGTGAGTGCGCGGCGGCGGCGGCGAGGACGGGAGGGCGGCGGGGCCATTTCGGGCGCCGGCGGAGAATGCCAGGCCGGGCGCCGGCGGCCCCGCGTGGGGAGCAGGGGGCAGGGGAGAGCCCCGGCGGACGGGAGCCTCTCGCCCCGGGAGGGAGGGAGGGCGGGCGGCTCCGCCTCGTCCTGCTGGCGAGCCGCGGAGGGAGGTCCGGCCGGGGGAATCCCGCGCCTCCGCCGCCTGCAGCCCCGTGGCCGGAGCCAGCTGGAGGTCCGGCGGCCCTGCCCAGCGAGCCTTCGCTGCCCTTGGCCGCTGCCCCCCCCTGGGCCGGGGCTCTGCGGGCTCCGCCGGGAACGTGCCCGGTGCTGGCGCGGCAGGCCCGGGCAGCGGCTGCGGGCGTGGAGGGAGAGGAGATGCGCCTTGCGCGCTGCTCCCGCTGCTGCTCCACCCTCTCCGGGCGGCAGGCTGGCATCGGGGCTGGAAGGGGAAAGGCCCCCTTGAAACAGGTGGATGTTCAATGGGGGGGGAGAGAGAGAGTAACCCCCAGGAGCTGTCCGGATTGTGGCATGGTTGGCTGTCACTAAGGGGGGAGGCCGGCTGGAGGCTGGAGAGGCCTGGGCTGGCAGAGGGGCATCGAGGCTGGGTGCCAAGGCTGGGTGCCGCACGGGGGAGCACCCAGCCTGGCTTCACCTCTGCCTGCATCTGGGAGAGGGCCAGCTCTCTGC